TTTGACCTATTCAATTGTAATATTCTCAAAGGCAAGCACTATATCTTCTTTGAAACTTGCGGCAGGTGTCTACATGGTATATGCTCAAAAGGTTGTTATTCATTATTCATGAAGACTTTTTATTATCCACTATATGCAAGAGGCTAAACAATTTCTTTAGAGTGATTGATATTTAAAGGAAATATTCTGATTTACCTTTCTATAAGTTTATAATCAGCTGGGAGTTGATAATGTAATGGTGTCCAATGAAATGTCTGGTCACGTGATGAGGCTTGAGACTCTCACAGGAACTGTCACATCATGCCATCCATATGTTTTAATTATGATTTGAATGACTTGCCTTAGGAATGAGAAGTCTTCAAAGAGTAATTTCAAATCAGTAATACAACTAGTTTGCAGATTTGGTGGAGAGTTTGTTTTATTAAATGTTAAGGGTTAGAAATGACATTTTACTATTTAAGTGCCTTGGCAAAGGATTGGTATGCTTAAATATTGCCTCCAGGAAATATTGATAGCTATCTCTCTCTCTATTCTATTAAATGATGATAAGAGATAACTAATTACCCTATGGCTATTTCTTTAAATATTGAGTCAAGATATACATTAAGACAAAAAGATAAGATTGTATAGTGCAATGGTTATGGCCATGGATTCTGATAGATTGAAGTTAGAGTCTTTGTTCTTTAAACAGGCAGTCTGACTTTGGGGAGCTACTTAATCTTTTTGTTTTTTTGTAGTTTCCTTTTCTGTAGTGGAAACAATAACACAGAGTGCCAGCTTCATAAGGTTGCTGAAAGCATACTATGAGATCATGTATGCTTGGGGCAAAGCCTGAGTTTGGCCAATAGTACTTAGTCTCTAAGAGTTAGGACGGAGCTGGGTGTCATTGTGATGATGTGGGAGGAGTTGTGGTGACCATTTGCCATTTTATAGTTAAGTGACCTTGGGTAAGCTATCTTACCTCTCTGAATCTCAGTGTTTAACTCTGTAAAAAATAATATTACGTTAGTGTTGCTATGACTGTTATATGAACAAATGTTGTGAATTACATACAATGCACCTGGATTTAGCACATCTTTGTTAAATGATAGCTTTTTATTACAATTATTAACATCTGATGACATGCCCTTGCTATTTACTGAGAGCATAACCCAGGTCAGACTGAGACAATGATCTATCCATCTCTATTTATCTATCTATCCATCTCTATCTATCCATCCATCTATCTATCTAGCTAGCTAGCTAGCTAGCTAGCTATCTGTCTATATCGTCTATCATCTATCTTTTCATCTCTCTATATATCTATATATACATATGTATAATTTTTCTCATAAGGTCAAAATGAAGTGTCACAGTCAACCTGACTCCTTCCAGGTCATCCTGGATTACTTTGATGGGGGGTAGGGGTCCCTTGCCTTCCGTTGGCTCCTTCGGATGAGGCATCTTTTTTTATTATCAGTAGAGGTTTCAGCTTTCTTAGTAGAACTGTATGGCTGCCAAGAAGGGGAAGCTTGAGGACCAATGAGTAAAATATCCTATGACTCATTGTCTAAATTGGGTCACTCTTGTGAGGTGCAGGAGACCTATAGGACTTCGCAATTTCAAGCTTAATGCAGAACCGTTCAGGGAAAACTAGGAGGTCTGGATACTCTACCAACGAAGAAAAAGGGCTGGGAAATGAGGAGGAAAAGGAAGGAAGAAGGATATGGATTAAATACACAAACCAACCAGACAATACATGCCTGCAAATCCGTTTTGGAGTCTCAGCTAACTGACTGGGCTGTGTAAAAACTCTAATTGAGCATTTTGGGGGCAAAGCTTTAGTCTCTCTGGTGCACCTGTGACATACTATGAGGACACTCACCTGCAAAGCCAGCATAGGTGTTTCTGGATTCTAAACTCCACTGTTTCAGGATCATTTCACTCCCAAGACTTATGGGACTTTGAGATACTGCTCATAACTATGGTATATGTCTCCACTCTAGTGAATTTATGATGCCTATTTTGTCCTAATTTTTTCCTCCTCATGGTCATTTTTTTAAGACATGTAACTGGAAGAAGTTTCTCTTCATCTGCAGAGCTAAATCTGAACAAAATTGAGAATAGAGTGTGCCTTTGAAGCCCCAGTTTTTGCCTCTTATTACCTCTTCTCCATCCCAGTAGGCCCCTTCTCCAAGCTCTCCATTTCCTCAGGTGGAGTGCTTGCTTGCCCTATCCCTGTACACTTGCGACACTCCTTTGGGCCTCCTTGATCAGTTAATGCTTGTCCTCCTCTCATTAAGCTGGAGGAGTCAACTAATCAGTGACTTTAACAAGCAGATTGTAAGTTGGGCCTCTTTCAGACAAGGCTCCAGTTTGTTGCCCAATGCATTGGCCCCACTGATGTTGGAGAGAATCTGGTGGGCCATGTACTTTGGGACTGGTAGACTTTATGTCTCCTTAAAAATCACACTGCATAGATAGCTCCTAGAAACACCTTTCCCAGAATAGACACTCAAAGGAACCTCCTTTGAAATAACAGTCACAGGAGCTTCTTGATTAAGAACCCACCTAGTTCTTTCAGGTCAGGCAAAGAGTTAAATTAAAGCAATAACTGCTGAGATGGACAAAAAATATGCTGGTCAAATATATTTTATCTTCATCTACTTTTCTTTAATCCACTCCTTATTTCTGTCTCTCTCCAGCTTCTTCTAGGTTAAGAATTGAAAAGTCTGGGCCCCAGACGTATCAGCAACCCCATGGGGTCAATGCAAGTAGTGAATTGTATTTCTTCACTTTTCTGTACCCCAAAGGCAAGAAAAGCCCAGATTTGAAACCTGACAGGAAAATAAATCTTAACAGTGAACATTGTCTTTCAACCAACATTGACCTCTCTCTCTTCTTGAATATTTCACCTGAGCAATCTTTTTCTATTAGCATCAAGAAATTGCTGAAGGAAGAAATGTTAGATCTGGTTTTTAATTAACTTTGCCATTGATTTCTACATAACTGGGTATGAGTCACTGTTCTTTAGTGAAAGGGATGAAAATCTCAAAAATTAATGGTTGTTCTCAGGGATTTTTCTGGACTAGTTTCCAGAGATTCTGCAATTTCTTCTTTTTCTCTCTTCTGAACTTATCAGCTTACTCTGTTTTCACCCTAACACGCACACAAACATATGCACATGCTCGCACACCAAACGTGCTTTCAGAATGAAAATACTGGGAGGCGAGGAGGTGATTATGTACTGCATTTAGTAGTTGATGTAAAAGAGTCCTGTTCTGCAATTTTTCCCAGTTCAATATATTTTTTTTAACAAAGTTACTCATAGCAAGTATTATATGCCTTGAATGAAAATTTGGTTATTGATAAGTGAAGAAGGAAGTGGTTAGTGGGCTTTAAAATATCTATAAATCTGATTCACACAATATATTTTTGATATTAGAAGTTAATATACTTCTTTTCCCACAAATTATTGTAACATTATGTGAAAAGATACAGTAGTATTTTCTGAAATGAGAGGAAAAATATCATCCTGTTACATTTTAGAAAATATAAAATAGAATGCCTTTGGTATATAATTTGTGGTGAACTGAATAAACTTCATATTTCCCCTCTAATATAGTATCATTCTAGTCCATCTTCAGCTAGTTGGATTCACCATATTTCTATCTCTAATTTTTTGATGTAAGCATCTTAATGCGTTTTTTATGAACTACATTGTCTTTTATGTATTGTTAATAAAATTCTGATTGATCCAAAATCTGAGTGTTAATTACAATCACAGAAAAACATTTGTCCAATATCTGTTATCACTATTTTAAAGATGATTTTTTTTCTTTTCATGTCTGGAAATGTTTTTGTACTTAAACTCTAAAGAGACCAGATTAAAAGTTTCTTTCAGTTACAGAATAATCCTCCAGAAACCAATGTGATTTAACTATATGAAATATTGATCCAATGCCTGCTCCTTTCCCATTGTTTCTCACTACAATGAATACCTCAACTCCCCAGTTAAGCCTCCTTTCCCCACCCCCCATCCCCTTCCTGAATTCTGGAATTTTCCTTGACCCTACTCTTCCCTAAAGACTGCTTTCTGAATCTCTGGCCCTATGAGTTGTGCCTCCAAGTTACCTCCTCCATCCAGTGGTCTCTCTGCCACTGCTCTGGCCCAGGCTACACTGTCTTTCCTCTGGGTACCGACAGAATCTCCTAGGCAACCTCTCTCTCTTCTTCCTGTCAGTCTTCTTTCCTTCAATTCTTTCTCTACTCTCAGCCAGAGCGATTGTTCCCTGTCAGGCCCATTGCCTCCTTTGCATGTTAGCCACACCAAACTCCTTTTTCCTCTATCATTCTGGCCATACTCTCTGTTTCCAGTGCCTTTGAATATGCTGCTTCCTCAGTCCGGAATGCTTGCCTTTTCTCTCTTATGTCCCTCCCAGCACCTGATTAAGACACCATCTTTGGATCTTAACTTAGCTGTACTTTCCTCCAGGAAGACTTCCTTCTCTCAGTCCCAGGTTAAATACTTCTGCATGTTCCTTTTGCTCTGACATCCATGAGAAAGTGCTAATTCTGCTTTGAGTAGTAGAATGTTTTTCTCTTTCATTTTGCTATAAACTATGTGAGGGCAGGGACCATATCTGTCTTCCTTACCGTGGTATCCCCGGGTCTTAAAATGGTGCCCAGAATGTGGTGGACACTTTGTATTTTTTGAGTGAATTTCTGTATTCTTTTATTTTATACTCACTGATGTTCCAAGTACCATTTAAACTATTTGTGAAATTAGGTTTTAAAATACAAAGATGATTGGTTTCATTTTACTAAAACAACTATGCATTTGGTATAAATTAAAAGTAATTTGTTTTTAACTCAGACAGAAGTGACTGTGTGAGCTATCTGTCTGTCTGTCTGAACATAAGAGGATTATCAAAATGACAAACTTGACAGCAGATGACGTTAGTCAAACAAACATCGTGAATGGGAGCAAGTAATGGGGAAGAAACCGACACTCAAACTTGTTCTGGAAAAAAACCCTGTTCTTTTATTGTTAGTTAGAAAGCACACACAGCAATTTATTGGGATGAAAGAGAAAAGGCAAAATAAGTGAGCATAGAAATTCATTTCAAAAGAACTGGTGCCACTTCCCAAGTAATATCCGTCTATGTGAGCTTTTCGAACTTTTGTATTTCCTATATCTATATACATAATCAGAGTTATGTTTATAGATATATGGAAACACATCACACACTTGTCAGAATTTCTTTCTCCAAAAACCTGCAGCGAGCATCTTCTTTTTCCTCCTGAAACCTTCCTACAGCTGTTTTCTTAGATCACGCCACAGTCTCTTTTCTCTGAGTTTGTCTCTGATGACAAGTAAGGATACTTGTAAAGGAAGATTTCCCCTTAGTTCTTGACTTTTTCTTTAACTTTTTCTGATTTTTGAGTGAGATTCCCAGTTCTTCCATGATGGCGTTGAAAGAGAGACACTAGAGAACATGAAATAATAGAGCATCAGTTTAACCAAATTGTCTCCGTCCTCCATTGATCTGTCTCTTACCTAGATTTTATGAATACAGGATATTGATCTAAGGCAACTATGCCACAAAGTCAATTCCCGGCCAGTTCCCATACCTCCTCCTCCACCCACTGGCCTCCCACCTTTTCTGCTTGGGGAAACTGAGGCAGCAAGTTAGCTGGGCAAACTTTGGGGTTTTATTCACAAATGCATTAGTATAAAACTACCCAATTAGGCTCTCAAAAGAGACAACTTACCTTTGCTGAGACACCAAAATAGAGTTAAGTTAAGTCATTTCCCCCATTGAGATGATCCAAACATTGATAGGTTTATCAAGGCATACGGACACTTCAGTAATGCTATAGAAAATGAACAAACCTTCTCTACACCAAGGCTTTGTTTTTTTCTCCCATGAAACCTTACTTTGTTCCTAAAATAAAATCTAATTCTTGATGACTTTCCTTTCTGATAAAAAAAAAGAAAAAAAACAATTTTAAATTGTATATTTTCTCCAAAAAACAGAGATCTGGCAGCAGCAATGATGCAGCTGTGGTTGAAATGAAAATAATGTGGTACAAAACTGCACAGCAAAGATGATGGCATAATACGAAAAGAAAATGGAATTATGATTATAAAGTTATGCATATGCAGATGGTGTATATATGTATATATATCTATTACAATTACACTATATCTATTCACATGCACAGTATATAAATGGCATAATAAAACATAATTTGCTGTCATTTCTTCCAGCGGAGATAAGATCTTTGAATGATAAATTCCTGCTTATCGAGATTTCTATAAAGTAGTATTGTTTTTGATGAGATTACTCTTGAAATATCCTCTAAAAACCCAAAGTCTTTGGTAAAGTGCATGGAAGTGCAAGCTGCACTCCTTTACCATTAAGTGACAAAATCAATATGGTTGAAAGTCAAGTGACAACACGCCGCCAGATGATTTCTCTACGTTGTGAGCGCCTGATAGCAAGAAATTGATGTATTATGTGTCAAAGTATGAAATGTCTTGTGTGGTCCTTGCATATCAATGTGCAACATGTATTTCTAAAAATTTACACTCCATTTTGTTCCACAAAAAAGTTGATGTGGTTTAAATAAGCAATATTTTTAATTTTTCTCCTTGATTTGAAAAGCAGACATAGAAATTTAGATCCTAGAGGTAAATTTACCTGGAGGTAAATTATTGGCCTACCAGACAAACATCTCTAAAAAAACCAGTTGTTTGCATATGACTTTTTGTCTCTTTTATGCAGAAATGTTTATAGGTTTTGAATTTCATTTTCATTTTTCTATGGTACTAAAAAATGAAAGTTCAGAATATGCATGTTAATTTTCTTTCAAATAGTTAAGTTGTGGCTTCAGTGAATTGAAAGGGTCGTCATGTCATACAAAGAAAAAAATTCAGAAATATTTTTATGAATTATACTTCCAAAAATATTATAGTTAGCATGTCACAAATGAAACATAATGATTTTTGTAACATTATGTGATGTGAAGTTTATGTGTTGCTACTAAGATGAAATGAATATTTTATAGTATCATTGTAGTAGATAGTGTTGTATTGGAGTTTTGCAACCTATATGCAAAAATTTATTTCAACGGGAGGAGGTTTTTTTGCACAGAACATTTCTGGATTTAGGAAGATCATTAAAATGGAAGGAAAGGAGAGAGAGAAGGAAAGAGCCAAGGATTTTACGTATGCTATTACACATAAGCCTCACAACAACCTTATAAGGAAGGAGTTACTATGCCCATTATATAGATGGTGAAATTTACTATTGGAGATATTAAGTAACGTGCCCAAGAAATATGGTTCATAAGGGGAAAAGCTTTCATTGGAACTCAGTCCATCTGACTCCCCAAACTCAATTGCTTTCATTCGAACCTCCCACACCTCAGTTAATACTTTTTTTATTAAGTCACTATAAACAGCTTTTTGTGGATCCTCTTCCCATAAAATATATGTTAAGAAAGTCCAATCTTTCTGTTTTATTTGAATTCTCAAACATTTGACTTTAGACATTTCAATTTATTTTGCACTAAAACATCCAAAGTGAGTCTCCAAGTGCTGCTCAGGTAGGAGACCCAACCAGGAAGGGACTTGATGAAATCCCCGCCCCTTTCCTATTTTGGGGAGAGGGCCAGTCATAGATTTTTATCTTGACAATATGTTTCAGTTCAGTTTTTCTTTAAAAATGGAAATCCCCCTCCAAATTTTATATTGCCTTGAGATACAACAACCATCTTTATTCTTTCGATTAACCCCAAATATTTATTTCTCGCTGCCAGTGTGAGGGTGAATCTAAATATAGTTTTATCAGTGGTCTGGTTACTCTGCTTTGGTCACAAATTATGATTTCTTTTTGATTCTCACTTTGTCTACAACTGTCAAGAAGAAAATGGCAAGATATTGGGGCTGAGCTTTCTGTGTCCAGGTTTTTGCGATAGTCACAAGGAAAGACAACCTTTAAACGCCCCTGCCAGCCATGACCTCTAGTGAACCACACACTCTCGTATCCACAGGAATGAAACTGTGAAGGTCATCTCACAGCCCAGAGTGACCTAGGAGGGCCTCATGTTCGTTCATCTATTTGCATCTATTCTCAGAATTAAAAATACATACAACATATAAAAATTGAGCTTCTGAATTAGGATCAAAACTATAGTAGTTTTCCAAAGCTTCCACTTCTGATCTTGGTATTAAGAACTCCCTCATGTTCACAGAGCCATAGAAAAATTATGCTTAAGCATGAAGTTTTAAAATCCTAAACTCTAATTTAGCCAGAAAGTAGCAGACATAACAATGTCCACCTAGCTACCTTGCTCGAGAGGCAGAGAATTTAGGGGTAGGATACCCCAGCAGTATCCTCCAGTGCTTGGCAGACTGGAAATTCCCCTGGTGACTTGGGTCCTAGGTCTTCTCATTTTTCTCTGGTGGATGGAGTACACTTTTAATGGGTCTACATATATGACCGTGAATTACAGTTGTGAGTTGGCCCCTAGTGTGAGAATGCTGGAGTTTAAATTTCAGCTATGCTCCTTAGTAGTTGGGTTACACTGGGCAAGGTGTTTGTTTGCTCTTTGACTCAGTTGCCTTAACTGTCAAACGGAAACAATAGTAGAATCCTTTTCATAGAGCTATTATGAGAATCATTGAGCTGATATATGCAAGACACTTAGCACAATACTGGCACTTGGTAAGTACAGTATTTCTTGAAAATAAAATTTTCTACATCACTGAAAATATTTAAGTCTATGGCACTCACTGATACATATTTTTTCTTTTTGATAGAAGGGAGGAACAGTGAAAAATTGATACTTCTTTAGTTTTATTCATCATATGCTTTTCTACACACCAATCTCTTTGAATTGTTTATACCAGTGTTTTAAAGTAGGTTCTATGCATGTTTAAAGCATAGAATTTTCAAGGCCTGTTATTATTTGTTTTACCCAGCCCATAGCATGTTTAGTGTTTGTGTAGTAATAAGCTTTATGACAGCTCGTGTCTTGTCCATAAAGGATAGGCGCTCGAACACAAGAAGAAAACGAGAACTAACTGCCGTTTCCTGTCTTTTAAAAACATTATCATGTCCATGTTATGAACCTATTTACAGTGAATGCCTGTGATGATAAATTTGATAGGAAAATTCACTTATAAATGGATTTAGAGTGATAAGCTATGTCGGTGCCTTTTAGGCTGTTCCTGACACTACGAAGGAGAAAGTGGTGGATGTGTGTGTGTGTGACTTCTCTTACAGAAAAAAGGGAAACTGAGAGACGGAAGTTACTCTGTTAGAAACTGCAGCTGAAACTTCAACTAGAACTGTAACTCTCCTGGATTTAGAATGAGAAGGATTTGCTTGTTTATTCTGCAGAAAGTCATTCTTTTCCACTTTGGTGCAGGTGGTGTGTCTTTCTCGAGCCCCCTTCTTTCCTGCCTTCCTCTTTCTTCCTCTCTGGCTTGTTTCTTTTTATAATTTCTGGCTGCAAGGCACCTGCTTTGGATTAACCCCAAATATTTGATTTCTTGGTACTAGTGTGAACCTGAACATAAATGATTCTTCTCTCCTGACACCTTCATCTTTGTGTTGCAAATATTGCCCTGGAAGGGGTGGCAGGAGTAATCAAGCTCTTCTTGTTCTGGACCTAAAATAAACTGCATCAGAAAAAAATAGTCTAGGGGTGGAAAATGATTTTTTTTGTAAGTTGTAGGAAAAGCTCTGTGCTGGAATTTGATTTGTGTTGGCAATATTGAAAGAACCCGGGCAAGGCTGACTAGGAATTGCTTTCACACAGGTTGCAAACGGCATCAGATTGGTGAATATCAGATTGATTTCTCCTTGTCTATTTAACATTTACGCATTCAGTGCTTTCATTTATTGATATGTTTAGGAGAACTACTCTGGATGCAAACCTTGAAGGGTTTTTCTGACAAATTACTTTTTAGAAGCTCCAGCCTAGCCAAGAATATAGTACAAATCTTACATTTGTTTAGTTTTCTCTCTTTGATTTATTAGCTCCTTGTTTAAAGACACTTGAAGTATTCTGTGGAATTGTCCAGTAAATTTTCACATTACACGTGGAAGAAGGATATAGAGAATATTATTTTCGTTATGTAGACGTAAAAATCTTTCATTTTATGTGTAGACCTGCTTAACTTGAAGGCAAGCTATGCCTCGAAGTCTTTTTGTAAAGGCCATTTTGAGTAAAATATAGAATATCAAGGAATAGTTTATTGAGAAATAATGGGATTATTATTACTATTTTCTTCATTTGGCCAAATTACTACCATAGTTCTGTGGAGGCAGTGTCCCAAGGAATTTTTTTTTTCTTTAACAGGAAGGGCTAAGTATCCACATCCTTAACATTTTGAAACACTGAGGTCTGATGTGGAAGCAAATCTAGAATGTTCAAAAGGTTTTGGGCCTAGAGTCAGGAAACTTTTAAGGAATAAGGACAAAGGAGTCCCATTCATACATTTGCTACCTTATGACATTAGGAAGTCTAGTCACCTATCTGCACGAGTATTACCTCTTCACAGGATAATTGATGATGTAAGAGCAGAGATCAGGTTTCAGCGGGCCCCCCACTAATTACGTGAAAGAAGGGGGAGGGAGCCTCTTAGAGTGTCTGTGTGTGCACCATCTTTGTGTGAAGCTCTTGTGTTCCAGAACACAGGATATGGGTATCATTTATTCCATTTTTATCAGTTTTCTGGGTTCATTCAGAATCCCTGGGTCACCTTTCATGCAACCATCCTTGGAATTTTTGAAAAATGAATCCAAGAGGTTGAGAGTCAGCTACCATATTAGCTTCCAGAATAGTGGTTATGATGAATTTGCCTGAGAGCTAATTAGGAAGCCGATTCTTGTCTCCTGAGTCTGTGCCAAAAAATCATAGGGTGGAGGAAATCTAGATACTGAACTAAAACTTCAAAGTGTGCTC